TTCCATTCTCTTCTGGTGGAACTTAATGCCATATCCAATTTATTAGTGGATGGCAGGCCTGGACTGGACTGGCTGCTCCTTGACTATAAGTAGACAAAAATGAATGATGCTCCTTCCTGGGAAGGAATTCTCCTTTATCTATATTCAATACTTTTCTTATTTCTTTTTAATCTCTTTCTCTCTGCTATAATTCAAGTTAGTAAATAATTAGAAGTTTAAAACATCACATTATGGACTGGAGAGATAGTATAGGAATAAGGAACTTGCCTTTCATGTGGCTCAATCTAGTTTGATTTCTGTCACTGCATCTGGTCCCCTAAGCTCGTCCAGGAGTGATATCTGAACATGGCCCATGTTCCTCCAAGAAAAAAGAGAGAAAGAGAGAAAGGGAGGAAGAGGGGAAGAGAGGAAGAAAGAGAGAAAGAAAAGAAAGAAAGAAAGAAAGAGAGAAAGAAAGAAAGAAAAGAAAGGAGAAAGGAAGGAAAGAAAGCAAAGGAAGGAAAGAAGGAAGGAAGGAAGGAAGGAAGGAAGGAAGGAAGCGAGAAAGAGAGAGGGAGGGAGGGAAAATCTTTCTTAGGATCTTTATTGCCTCCTTCCTTCTCTTCCTTTCCTTTACCTCCTTTTTCTATTCCTTTCCTTTTCCCTCTTCCCTTTCCCATTCTCTTTCCTTTCCATTCTCTCTCTTCCTTTCTTACCTCTCCATTTCCCTGCTGCCTCTGTCTCTTACCCTCTCCTCCCTATTCTCTCCTTTCCCTCTTTTCTCTCCTTACCTTCTGTTCCTCTTCCCTCTCCCATCTCCCCACTTCCCTTTCCTTACTTAGTCTAGTAGACTAAAACTCATATCAACTATGCATAGAAAACATTTATAGAGTCAGAAGAGGCTGACTAGAAGTGACACATGGCAGACGGTGTGTGGGGGGGGAGGGGGGTCTCAGGTACTTTGGAGGTGGTGAAGATGCAGAAATTGTACATCGAAACCATAAACAGGGAGATAGTGCAGTGGGTCAGGCACTTGGGAATTTCATCTGTGAGACTCAGGAAGGAACCTGATTCAGACAGAAATTTAGAGGTTAAAGCAGAACTGTGGTCTCACACTTGTCAGCTCCTTCTAGGTTCAAGTTTTCCTTTCATCACTTTTCTCTTGTGGCATATCTTCCAACATATTTATGTAAGAGTGACTACAGTGACTATTTAAAACTAGGAAAGAAGGTTTTAATCCAGTTATAACCTAAAAGATGAAACCCGCACAAGGAATTTTGTTAGGAATAAAAAGAAAGAAGTTGTAGAGATACAGAAAGAAGGGTGCTTACTTTAGAAAAGCCGGTGTAGAGAGCCTGGTTAGGGGATATGGAGGAAAACCCAGGAAAAGAACAAATAACTAGCATAGTCCTCATTTATGTTTTTTATTCCTATATATTATACAGTATATGAATATTTTATATATTTTTAATATATTAATATATTCTCATATTTTGATCATGGGACATTTATGAAATCCATTTTCTATAATTCCGACTCTCAATAGCCAGAAAGTATTAGGTTATAATAGTCTTCCTCTAAATTGTAGAATAAAACATGTTGCCTACAATTTTATCTATATATTTTTGTAGCTGAAATCAGACTATATGCCAATTTTTATGACAATTTGTCTCATAAACTTGTTCATTTGAGTTGAGGGATGAGGTAGGTGAGCTGGAGAAGGGAATTAAAGGGACAGATAATATCTGCACGTGGTTGATTCAGTCTCTCTTCACTTATGAAAAGGATAATGACTCTGATCACTCAACATGCGTAGTTGAAACCCATCATTCTGAGTCCTCAGCCAGCACAATGGTCTGTATGTGGCTCCAGGCAATTCTTATTTTATAGAAAGAAGGAAAGCGTTTGTAATGTGTTTGGCGTAAGTGTTCCCGATTGTGCAAGCAGAACAATGGAATTTCTAGTTGCCTTTGGGCAGACAGAATGTTCCATCTGACTCTAAGTTGGAAAATGTTGCTTGAGGGCCCAGGGAGAGGGCTTGCTCGCAAAGGAGAGTGTGTGCCTGGTCTCAGTGAGACCCCAAGTTTAGCCCCCAGTACCACTTGTTGCACCACTGTCCCCTCAGCGCCACCTAGTGGCCTCTATTATAAAAAAATCCAAAATGTTTATTAAGAAATAATTTCTCAGATGAGGATAGAGCAGACACATGGGAGCAGGTGTGGAAACAGCACAGAATTAGGATAGAAGCCCAGTGGTCAGCTTTTGGATAGGAGCTGCTCTTGTCGAGTAGAGAGGTTCTCAGCGGCTTTATGGAGCCCCACTTATGCATTCTGGAATTGCTCCTTAGGAGTTGATTGGCAATTGGTGTCTTTTTGTAATTTTTTTCCAAGAGTGTTTATGAGTGAAATATGATTCTATCTTGTCTCAACACCTCTTTTGTTAGCCTTTCCTTAGCAAGAGATGTCAAATGAATAGGAAATTCTAGGGTTACAATTCTTTTCCTTTTCTTTCAAAACCATCCGTCTTATAGACATAAGGCTTCCGTGTTTCCTACTTATATACTGACACATCTTAATCACCCACAGTTCAACACATTACTTCTATTCTTGATGCTGTTTTCATAGGCAGAAGTGGGGGACTGTTTGGCCCATGGGTCACTTAAAGTCTGTGAGATCATGGAGTGTGGCCCTCGTCCATTATTGGATAGATATGTGTGTTTCTCTTTGGTTGCATGCAGTTTGTTTGCCTGTATCTTACGGATCAAGAGTGATGTTATAAATAACCAAATGGTCCTTGACCAAATAAAGGTTCCCCACCCCAGGTCTAAGGGTTTGGGTACAAGTGTCAGTGACATTTGTCCATCATTGTGCCATTAGAGTATTTTCACTATTCTAGAAGTCTTCTCTGCCCCACCTGTTTTTCTCTGCCCTTTTACCTCAGCTCAAGGAGAAACTTCTCTTTCCATGGGTTTTATAGCTTTGCCTTTTCCAGCTGTACTGAGCACCACAGGGTATGTAGCTTTCCAGCCCTGAGTAATAGTCTGTTGTCTGGGCATACCACAATATATCTATTCAGTTGTTGAAGTATACTTTAGTTGCTGCCAGGCTTTGCCAATGATGAATAAAATTGCTAGAAGCATCTATGTGCAGATTTTTGGTAGACACGCTTTTATATACATAGGCATCTATGATATGAAAGAGACATAATAGATATTTTCATATATGTGTATGCTTGTATGTTTCATTATTTTGGTTATTTATGGCCTTGTGTTTTCTCAAAGTGTGTAATGTGATCAAGCAGATATATACTTAGAATTGTCCTTTAAGAAAGGGAAAAACCTTGAGAAGACTGGAAATACTGGTGATGGATGGTGGTGGGTTTGGTGTTGGAATATTGAAAGTAATAAATCATTAATAACTTTATAAAAGTTAACTAAAAGAGAAAAGGGAAAACAATTCTGTATTGATATTGGTCCTGTACTTTTTCCCAGCATATTGCATGTATTATGTCCAATTTTATACCCACCCTGCCAGTATCCCTGAACTGGAGAGAGGACTCAATATAGCTAGTGTATATTTTGCATCCAGAGGCCCAGATTTGGTCCCTGGTACCTCATTCCCCCCCCCCCAGCACCACTGGGAGTAACCTCCAAGCAGAGAGCTGGGAGTAACCCCTAAACACTGCTGGGTGTAGACCCCCAAAATAACAAAATAAAAAGATCACAGTACTCCCATTGATCAAAGGAAAAAACAAAAGATCAGAAAAAGTTAAAAAATATTCAGATTACATACACAGTCAAATTGCAGATATTGTCCAGTCAACCTCTCTCCCCTTCCCCAAGTAAACCAGAGGATTCCGTGTCAACAGCCTAATCACCAATCCTTGCATCTCATGTGCTACTAGCACCCTCTTCCTCCTGGCTGGGAACTCCCCTCCCATCCCCGCTGCTGTTCAGGGCTGAGAGCCTGAAGTGCGGGGGTCCCTGAGCTCCTGCCAGGTCTGGAGAACATTTCTTGGCTTCGGACCAAGGATTTGGATGATGAGCAAATCCCACTTGTTCCATGTCCCACTTGTCGTATTTTTATTCATCCTTTGGTATGGTCACTCAGAAACTTATTTTAATTTGGGATTAAGTCCAGAGTCATTTTCTTATATTCTTAAGTGGAATTCTGTGCTTTACAATACTATTAATGAGGGTTTCTCATGCACGTAATTCCAACACCAACATCTATAACCAATGTGTACACATCCCTCCTCCATGGACCCCAATGCCCACAATATTTTGTTCAAGAAAAAAAAATCCTTAAAAAATGAGCATGTTATTTTATTGTTTTTATTTGAGAAAATATTCTCCAAATATTTACATATTTTATAGAAGGCATTGTAAAAGTCAATATTGATAATATAAACCACATTATCACCGTAGTTATAACATTTATATATTTTTTCATTGTAATTTTAAAAGTTCTAGGCATGCTGTGCTTCTACTCCAAAATAATTAAAATTGCACCTTTGCTGAAGCACTTAGTGGCTATGGAAATATATCAGTTTTTATTTGTATAATTATAATTTCTCAGTTCAAGGATGTTTGGAACCTAAGTTTTTTCTTGGCCTTTTGAGGTATCTTTTAAAAAATTTAATAGCAGGGTGAAGTAAAAATTGTCAACTACAGGATTGCGGAAATAACTCAAAGAACTGGAATGCACGCTTTGCAAGGGCGGGGAAATGCACCCTACCTTGGGTTTCATCTGAGGGCCATCAAAGAGTGATACTTGGAAGTACACTTGGAGAAGCCACCAGAAGAGTTGTGTCTGGCCCAAACTTTCCTTAGAATTGGCAATGATAGTTTCCAAAATTGAAAAATCTTATGTATTTCAGCAGTCACTTCTCTCTATACTCATAAAATATAACCTATAGATTTTACTTAATTTGTAATACTGGCAAACCGAGTACAGAACAGTCATGCACTGTGTCATCATTAAGCTGAAGTGAACTTGCAAATGCCTTCAAGTATAGCATTCCTAACAACCAAACTCGCTGTTGCTTTTCAGTCTTTTGGTGACACGGTCGTATCGAATATCATATACAAACAAGTTAGTATCTTGGAAGAAGTAGAAGAGTTCTAAAACGAAAGAGAAATTGAATAGTTTAGTTCCCTGTTTGTATTATTTTTTTTAAAAAAATGACACAATCTTTTTATGGATTATCTAGATTTGACAGGGTCCAATTTGAGAATATAAATATTGAGTCCTTTAGGCTGGGTTTTTTGTTTTGCACCTAAATATCTGTTTCCATTTCGTTATTTCACCATTAAATGAATGGTCACAGTCCTCCTGTTCATCAATTTGCTCGAGCTGGCCCAGTAACGTCTCCATCGTGAGACTTGTTGTTACTGATTTGGCATATTAAATACGTCAGGGGTAGCTTGCCAGGCTTTGCTGTGTGGGCGAGATACTCTCGGTAGCTTGCTGGGCTCTCCGAGAGGGGCGGAGGAATTGAACTAGGCTCGGCCAGGCTGGCTGCGCGGCAAGGCAGACGCTCTACCGCTGTGCTATCGCTCCAGTTCATTTGACCATTAAATATCTTCATTAATTTTAAGGAGGTTGTTTGGTCTTAAATGCTAATTATGAAGATGCAAATCTCTTGAAAAAGTCATATTCCAGGTGGAGAGCTCAGAGAAGAGGAGATTGGGCCTAGTTTCATAGCAGAGGTAAAAAGGTACAGAATAGCTATAACAAATTCTTGGTTTAAGGACAGTTTTGCTTAGGCTGATCTTGCATGAAGTTTGATCCACAAACACTGACTCAAACTCAAGATTTTCTCATCCTATCCTCAAGCTTCGTCCTTGTAAGCCTGTTGAGGCTGAAAGGGGCTGGCAGGAAGGTAAAGTAAGCAGGGTATGAAAAGGCACAGAAGACCCCAATTTGCCTGAATCCCAGCTGCCATATCCTCACACAGCAGCACTGTGAACTGCATATCATGGGGGAAGTCCAGAGAGTCACACCCAGAGAACCAGTGACTGTCATGTCCCTCCTGCCTGGCCACCCTCAGGAGGCCTCTCTAGCTTGTTCTTCTGGTCTACCTCATCTGAGCTTGGCACACTGTGCCCCGTACCCCTGGCCGGGGGTGGGGGGAGGGCACAGAGTTCTATTCTTGTCAATTTGGAGACCTAGTGTTTGATCTAGACATTCCTATCAGCTGAGTGTTTGTCAAAGCATTTTCCAATATATCCTTGGCTTTCTACTCACTGTTGTGGTAATAGACTGCATCGACTTTCGGGCCAATTCCTGGGAAGTATTTAGATATTGCTCTGGGAAAACCAAAGTCCATGCGTTGTGTACTCTCATCATACCTGAGCAAAGAAATAAGGAACTTTATCAGAAAATAGATTCCTGGGCCAGAGTGATAGTACAGCAGGTAGGGCATTTGCCTTGCATGCGGCCAACCCAGGTTCGATACCCAGCATCCCATATGATCCCCTGAGCACCGCCAGAAGTGATTCCGGAGTGCAGAGCCAAGAACCTTGACTGTTGACCGTTTTGTTCTGAGTCCCTGTGAAACTATCACCTTCCACTTCTACACTTCCTTGTCCTACTCTTTTACGATGTCCCCACCAGTGTTGGTGGCCCTGCTGGGAACACAGCATCTAGGACAAAGCCATGTCATCCAAGTTCATTAATCCTCTTGCAAGGATAGTAGGAAGGAAGAGAGATGTTCATTGAGATAAGCACTGGCCACTTCAAAGTATCAATACTCTTCATCCCCTTACTCCAGTGGTGTCCAACCAGCTGGAGTAAAAGCATTGTCTGCAGCTGTTGAGCCTTTAATGCCTCTGTGAAGCAGTCTATCTGCTTCTTTGTGCAAAATTTCTCAGCTCAGAAGCCCGCCTTTTTTTTTTAAATAAGTGTGTTTCTTTATTTTATTTTATTTTATTTTTGCTTTTTGGGTCACACCCAGCAATGCACAGGGGTCACTCCTTGTTCTGCACTCAGAAACTACCCCTGGTGGTGCTCAGGGGACCATATGGGATGCTGGGAATCGAACCTGGGTCTGCTGCATGCAAGGCAAACGCCCTCCCCGCTGTGCTGTTGCTCCAGCCCCAGAAACCCGCCTTTTAAGTAAACCCTCAACCACCTTTTAGGGGTCAAAATTTGCCTAGCATCTTGTACTCTGCTTTTGTGTGGAGTAGACTTTCATTATTCACTATTTGGTCCATGTTATTTTATTGTTTGCCCTTTCATCTTTATTTCCAACATATCACCTGCTTTTCTTAGCCCAACTGTCTAATTCTCTGTAAGTGGAAACCTCGCAGTATTTCAGAAGATGGAATTTCCATGTCATTTTGGATTCAGTGGTTAGAAACGGAGTCTAAAATTTCCTACCTCCTCCAAACTGATTTGTAAATACCTGATCTTATACATCTAAACCACTGTTTTCCAAAATGCTTCTACAGTGATGAACAAAGTAATGTTTTACTTCTAGTGTTGGTGTTTAGCCCTGGGAGTGGAACTCAGCAGTGAAGCTTGCCTGGCACATGCAGATTCTGGGTTTAATCTCTGACATAAAAAAAAAGTGCTTCTATTTTAAATGTATTATGTGTTATTTAAGAAGCCAAAAGAAATCAGTTAATAAATGGGGTTAGACCACTGGGTGTGGCCCCCAAGGGAAAAAAGTAATTAAAATAATAATAACAGAAATAACAAAAGAGCTAAGTCAACTATTACAGTTTTACGCTCTCTTCCTCTCTAAGGAAAGTCAAGGATCTTTGAGAATTTGCATAGAAACATTACCTTCTGGAAAATTTTATTCCTTGTCTATTTTATAAAGATAAGACCTTCTTAAAGGTCAAATCAAATTACCAATGGTTAAGGCTTACCTCCAAATTTGGTTTTCTACAAAGAATAAAGTTGTATTTAAAAATGGATTAAAAACAGCTGCATCAATTTTTCTCACAGAGTTAGGGAAACCCAAAGAATGAATGCTCTTGGGGTAGCCTGGCTGTGGCCTGAGGTTCTGGAGGGCCCAGAACTTGTCATCTGTGAATACAGAGAAAAAAGGCAGGTCAGATTCATGCAGAAAGCACCATTCCACACAGCAAAGCCCCTCTATCCCCCTACTTCCGAATTATAAGACTGCTTATTCTTAGGCATGATCTATGATTTTTTAAAATGCAGTGTTGCTACGTTATATTTTCAAAGATTTTATGTATTACCAAAATAGTTGGGCTGGAGCGATAGCAACCAACTGGGGTTTGATTCCTCCATCCCTCTTAGCCCGGCAAGCTACCGAGTATCCTGCCCACACGGCAAAGCCTGGCAAGCTCCCCATGTTGTATTCAATATGCTATAAACAGTAACAATGAGTCTCACAATGGAGACGTTACTGGTGCCCACTTGAGCAAATTGATGAACAATGAGAGAACAGTGCTACAGTGCTACCAAGATAGTTAAGCTAGTTTAGCGTTCAGTTTAGACTGCAGGGATGGCGAACCCGGGCCCGCAGGCCATAGAAGGCTCATGATGCTAGGAGACTCATTCCGGGACAGACGCGTGCATGTCTCAGCTGCCCTTGGTTCGCTTGCCTGTACTGTATGGTCTGCCTATAATGTTCTATTTATCCAAATTACTTTGGCAGAAAAAAGTCTCCCCATCCCTGCTTTAGAGCCACTCTTAAATGTCCTGGTCCCCAAACATTGCTGGGGAGACCACCCTCAAATGAAACCACAAAACTTTAGTTACCTTTAAAAAGGAAAAGTTGATTTTTGACTCCAATTTCGTAAGCGGCTTCAATACCAGTGGATAAATTTGGCAATAAAGAAGAAATGGAACTTACTTTTCTTCTTGGATTCCCAATAAATCTCCAGAAGAATTGTCTGACATGAAAATAAGGAAACAAACCCCCATTTAGAACATGTTAAAAATCACTGTAGACTCTGGGGCCATGACGTGGAGGTGGGAAGGGCCTGTAAAAGACTTCAGGTTTCTCTGTCAGTTTTATGTTCTGTTCCCTGGATGCCTGTAGAAGGATCACAGGGAAAAGCGTTTCATCCAGTCACTGATAGTAACAGTGATCCTGGTGGGCCAACCTTCTCTCAGAACCAGGAGCTCTCAATTCTTCTGTCCCCACCCACCATTCTCTAGTTTTCTAGTCTAAAGGAAGTCATTTGAACCTTAAGTGTTGCCTTTTTAAATCTCAAAACAGACAATATTTGCCTACCTCCTAAATATTGATCTTGGACTGGAGTGATAGCACAGCGGGTAGGGCGTTTGCCTTGCATGCTGCTGACCCAGCATATGGTCCCCCGAGCACCATCAGGAGTGATTCCTGAGGGCAGAGCCAGGAGGAACCCCTGAGCATTGCCAGGTGTGACCTCCCCCTCAAAAGCACTAAATATTGATCTTGTTGACTCCCCAAAGCTTTCAGTATCTGTTTCAGCCTGTGTGCTGGATAGAGACTTTTGGTCACTAGGGACTTATTTTCTATGACTACAAATCCAGCCTTTTATGAGCTTCCAGGACTGCCCATCATTCTAGCTATGCTTATACTAGCTTGGCATCCCTGCCTGGCCCACCCTTCTCCAGCCCACGTTTACTGGGTTATCACAAGTTCATTTGTTTATATGCCCATGATAACTACTTTGTTCTCTACATCCAAGACCTTCAGGTTGTGTGTGTGTGTGGTTTTGGGTCACACCTGGTGGTGCTCAGGGCTTACTCCTGGCTCTGCACTCAGGGATTTCTCCTGGCAGGGCTCAGAGTACCACAAGGGCCACTGGGGTACTCTGTACATAGCTAGGTAGGCTGTGTGCAAGGCAAGTAAGTACCTTCCAATTGTACTATTTCTTTGGACCCCCTTCACGGTTACCTTTAAATAAAATTCATGTCCCTTGTTACAAGTTTCATCTACTTTCCCCCCCAATATTTACCATTACTTCCAGATAAAGCAAAAAACCAAACCTGACCGGTCTTTAATGTTATTTAGATCAGGAAATGGTCTAACCTGCCTTTGAAGTAAAAGATTTTATCCCCCACGGTACTGACAGCATCGTAACTCAAATTGGGGCCACATCTCGGTGAGTATATATCCGGGTAAGGGGGCTTCAGTTGAGATGTTTCCGGGCCACCTGAAAACACATTTTAGGATGTATTAGAAATTAAAAATAATCAGCATTTTAATTAATAAGAGGAAGAATTATTCTTTTGAAAACATTTGGTTTCAATTAATTTTTTTAAGGGGAGGGGGAGTGTGAGGAGATCCTGATGGTGCTTAGGGAACTGAGGGTGAAGCGTCAAACTTAGGGCTCCTGTTTGTAAAGCACAGGCTCTCACCCTTTGACCTAAAGTCCCTTTTCTTGATCTCCAAATACATGAAAAGCAATTTAGGCTTTTATAACATTGACAGAAATCAAACCAACCCACGCCCCTCCCTGCATCCCTCATGTGATTATAATTTGGAAGAGAAAAGTTGGACCCCTCTGTCTTTCCTGTTCCACTGGGATTAATATTTGTGTTCCTTCTTCAACACGGCAGTATGCTGGATAGAAATTAGACTTGCTGTGCCCCTGCCTCTGTCATTAACATACTAGATCTCTTGTTCTACACTGTAAAATTAAGAGACTATCTATCTGTCCAGGTACCTCACAGAGTTTTTCTGGAGTTCAGAAGAGAAGAAGGATGCTAAAGTTTTTTTCCAAGTGCAGTGAAATATTTCAAATATTGTCAAACTACATACAGTGCTCTTTTGGGCCTATTTTTTAGATAAAAGATTTACAAGTATCTTTCTATCCTAAGGATACATGCTACACCTTGCTGCATGAGGCTCCAGTCCAATCACAGAGGCCATGAGTGTAAACCCCACCCATCCCCATCACACCAGCAAAAGGATAGGAAAATTCAACTCACCATAAAGAGACTGAATACCTCGTATGTCATCAGCAGAGAGGCGGAATGTGTTGGTATCAACATAGCTGTAGGTGGGGAACATTATAGACTTTGGGTCATTAGAATGGTCAAGACCCAAGGAATGACCGAACTCGTGAACAGCCACCAAGAACAGGTTTATACCTGAAAGGAAACCAACCAAAAGAGAGAGAGAGCAGTGAAGGACCTTGGCATCCAGGGGGCGACAACAATTCTGACATAACCCAGGGAGAAATGGGGCTCTTGGAAGTCCTGTCTCCCTCTTGCAGAAAGTATTCGGACCCTGGCACTTTGGATGCCCTAGCCAGGTAATTCTTTGTTTCCATGGTACTTCTGGGCATTGTAGGTGTTTAGAAATTGCTGGTGTTGCCATTCAATCCGAGTAACATGTTTCCTGCCAGTTTGACATTCAAAAATTGTTTCCATGAATTGTCAAATGTCTCCTTGGGGGTCAGATGTTTCTGCTAAGGAGCTGCCTTGCTGGCAGAGAAGTCAAATGTATTCTGTGAAAATGTCTAAAATAACGTGACTTCCCAGTTGCTCTCATTTCCCATGACTCTATTCTGCTTTTTCTCTTGACCTGACTTCACTGGCTCTAGAACAGTCTTCAGGAAGCATCCTGTACTAACAGCAAATATCAGGGCTTGTAAAGTTCCATATACTGTCAGATATGCCACATTATAGTCGTCCATGTGCAGCTGACAGGACTCTGCAATTTGCACTTCTGATTCACATTGATTTTCACTGTGAATTTTCTTTGGAAGTTTATTTGTTCTATTCTGCAGCAGGGTGGGCACTGCTGCAGGGGAAGGCTACAACTGTCACCTCTGCATCCATGTGCTTCTTTCCATCTCACACCCCACTGGAAACTCAGGAGGTCATGAAGTCCTTGCTCACTTAATATAGCAGTGTAGCACTGTCCTCCTATTGTTCACTGATTTGCTCGAGCAGGCACCACTAACGTCTCCACTGTGAGACTCGTTACTGTTTTTGGCATATCAAATATGCCACAGGGAGCTTGCCAGCCTTTGCTGTGCGGGCGGGATACTCTTGGTAGCTTTCTGGGCTCTCTGAGAGGGGCGGAGGAATCCAACCCGGGTTGGCCGCATGCAAGGCAAATGCCCTACCCGCTCCAGCCCTTCTGCTATGGTACTTAATTTAATCACTCAAGGTCAGTTAATAAACTGAGATTTGAACAATGTGTTGATTAATTTTACTACTTTAGACTACATAATAATTAAGAAATGCTATTCACCATCACTCATCCCAGATATTTCTTTATAAATATTTCTATTTGTAAATAGTCTACGTAGTCACTTAATATACTAGGTAAAAAATTAGGCTGAGAATGAACACTTTAAGAAATTTCCTTAATGCAAGTATGGAAAAACTAGAATGAAGCCAATTAAGCTGAATACTGAAGGACTGGAGGGAAATTCTTTGGTCTGTGAGATATGACGCACATGTTCTAACCCTAGTTTTCCCATAGGTAAGCCTTACCCTTCTCTCAGCCTCAGTTTCCCCGACCCCCCCCCCCCCCCACTGTAAAGATCTCTATTAAATGGCTTGTGTAGGGGATCTTTAGAATTCCTGGATATTCTGCAAGGCTAACCAGCACTGATCTCTCATGTCAGATGAAGAGATTATAACCTCATAATATTTGACAAGTATTGATTAAAACTTAGGATAATATTTAGATAAATGTAACAAACCTTACTGCTGATTTGCTGCTTAGCAAGAATATAATTCCACATCATTTGTCACTTAATAGAACAAAAGTCCTTTTTTCAATAGAGATTTGTATACACTGGACTGAAGAAATAGAGCCCACGCTTCTGGTGCAGGAGTGAGAAATCACTGTTCTTTGGAGAGCTTTGCAGTAGGAAGCCTAGCTTTGACCCCTGGCACCACATGGTCCCCCAAGTACCACCAGCGGCGACTCCTCAGCACAGAGCTAGGAGTAGCTCCTGAGCATCACTAAATGTGGCCCCAAACAAAAACAAAATATAGAATTTTGTAAACCTTTAGTCAACTAAAGCAAAGAGCCCTTCTGACTGATTGGTAATATCTCTAAAACTTTTGTCATCTGACACATGCAGTGTCAGCCAGAACCAAGGGGATACTGCGTTGAGATCATTGTTTGATTAGTTTTTGCTTTGTTCTTGTTCTGGGGCCACATGCAGGCAGTGGTGGGGACTGAACCTGGGTCTCCCTCAAGTGTCATTCACCCTCCAGTCCTTGAGCTCTCTCTTTGACCCTGAATCAAACCTGTTTTTGATGTTTTTCTTTCTGTTTTCTTTAAACATGAGTCAGTCTTCTAACCTAGAATTTCTAGTAGAAATATTAGGAAATATTTTGATGTGCTGACTCGGGCTCTCCAAATGATAGTGACTCCACCAAGGTGCAAGGACACTGAGTGTCCCCAACTCCTCTCTGAGATGGACGGTGGGTTGTATATAGCCCCTTGGCAAATGTACAAAGATACCGATAAATGATGAGTTGGGTGTTCTGAAAATTTTATCTCAAACTACATAAGACTATATGATCTTTGTTTCTCTGTGAGGATTTCTAATATTTCTGTATCTCTGTGAAACTTAAGAAAATTTCAGTATCTAAAGGATCAAGCAGATGACCATGCTTGAATAGGTTTGGTGGCATGCATAGACTTTCTGTGATTGCTTGAATGCATAGATCTCACTATCAAAAACCCATTATCTAAATTATTATCTTTGCATTTCCTTACTATGGTTCTGAAAGCCCTTGGTTTTATATTAAACAACTAGATCCTCCTCAGATTCTTAGAATTGATCTTTAAGATAGTATAGGTATAGTATCCCAAATTATAGAGGGTGATAATGACGCCATGTGTTCCAGTTCATTCAGTGGTAAACTTAGAACAAGTTTTCTCATTCTCTAATTCTTTCTCAGAATGTGGCCTTTCAAATTTGTGACCTAATTAATACTGCACTTTTCCTTATGATTTTTGTTTGTATGTGTGATTGTGTTTGAAGTGTTTGTTTGTTGCGTACCTTTGGAGCTTTTAGTCCAGATTTCATCCTCGTCAAAGTGCGCATCTCCTCCCATACCATATCCAGGCCCAAAAGCATGGGCGATGACTCCACCTCGACCGTCAAAAGGGTCGAAGTCTCCATGTTCTGTTTACAAAGGAGAGAGAATCAAGCCTTCTGCACATGCTATTGGTCATATCCAATGGTACAATTTAAGTGAGTTCAAGTTTCCTACCTCTGAATGCAAAGTGTATCATAATGTCGGCCACCCCATCATTGATTTTTCTGAACTTTAGAGGAGTCACTTCACTCCAGACTTGGAAAGCCTTTTGGATAGCATAGTCAACATCCTCACGACTCAGGTCAGGGGTGTAATTATTGATTCTTTACCAGCAACATAAGAAAGAAAAATACGGACACTGTCAATTTTCTCTTTTTATACTTCACTTCCGTTTAAATCATTAGTGAATGAATCCTTTCATACATCAGTAGTTCAGGTAAGAAAATATTCCATTGGGGCCAGAAAGGTGGCATGAATGTTTTGTAGGCACAAAACCCTAGTGCTGCCTGCTCTTCCTACCCCCAAAATGCTCTGTGGCCCTGATGACCCTGCACTGCTGAACCTGAGCATTCTGGAGTCCCTAGTCCCTAATCTGCTGACTAGCTGAATGTCACTGGAAATGTTCCCTGGGCTCCCTGAGTGTGGCATGGAAAATCCTCCTTCTCCCCACAGAAAGAAAACCTGATTTTATTTTTATTATTTGAAGTCAGTCACAACTTCTGGTGCTCAGGAGTTGCCACTGGTGTTGCTTGAAGGAACCATTTGGTGACAGGTATGAAAACCACGTCTCTAGTGTGCAAAGCGTGTGCCCAGCCCTTTGAGCTATTCCTCTGACCCCTGAAACCTGACATTATTAACTACAAGAACATTTATCCTTGGGCAGCTTCCTCCTTAAACAGACTCTAACCAGACCTGGTCTCATTTATGATTTCTGGATCATCACTGAGGAGGATTTGCATTCAGAAAGCTTATGTCTTGTTTTGTTTGGTTTGATTTGGTTTTGGTTTGAGGGCCACACCTGGAGGACCTTAGGGCTTACTCCTGGCTCTGCATTCAAGTATCACTCCAGCAGGCTTGGGGGACCATATGGGGTGCTGGGGATTGAACCTGGATTGGCCCCATGCAAGGCAAACTCCCTACCCACTGTCCCTATCGCTCTGGCTTTTGCCTTTCCTTCTGGACTTCTGAGTCGACCCATCAAGCCTTTTCTGCAGGTCTTATTGCAGGCTCAACTTCATTTTCCTTTTATAGCCTTCCTAATCTGCTCGAGATTGGAAAACCAACCTCATTGGGTGAAGAGGTCTCCCTTGCAGAGATAATGGATTTTAACACGGATTTAGGGCTCTATCTAAATGACTTATATCTTAGAAATTAAACCTAGACAGAAGCAGGAAATTATGTGGCTACATGTACCTATAGGAGATGTCACGCTTTCTCCATACAGGCCTTCTAGGCAGTGTCCGGAAATGATGGACGTCAGGCACACCACACCGAGGTGTGTGCATCATGTCCATAGTTGATACATCCAGTTGCCCCGTCACTTTTAGCCCCAAGAACTTTTGCATTTCCTGGATTTTGTTCTCCATGTTGTTCATATTGTCTTGTATTTTTGGTGTTGGAGATCTCACGATCTTGAGGTCATAAAAGGTTTCCAAGTACCTCTGGAAAAGATAGGTTTAGTAATGCATTATTATACATAAAAGGTGTGTAAACACACAAAAAATAAAAAGGCCGGCGGTCAGGCCGCTTCCCCACTCCAGGGAGGTCGATGGCGATGGTCAGGCCAAGAAAGGAAACGAGGGCCAGGCTGGTTGGTCTTAGCAGCGATTTATTACATGGAGGCCTCAGGAATCCTCAAGCACGTACACACTTGTTCTCTCCGCTTCTGTCCTCAGCCCCATCTTCCCAGGTTCTCTGGTGCACGTGTCCCCCCAGAGAGCCCTGAAATCTCCCTTATATAGATCATAGTACCTCTAAAGGGTGCAATATAGTGATGTCATCAAAAGGAGTTACAGAAAGAACACTGAGGCAAAACATACGCAGGCCAGTAATCCTGGCCTCACCTTTTTACAAGCTACAAGCACTTAGATTAGCACAACAAAGACCAGTCTGCTAGAGCTTGGAATCTGCATCTCCAAATCAGCCAGCCTGGAGCCAGGCATCTACATCCCAAAGACCAGGCCTGGTTTAGCACCTGGGATCTGTATACCTAAGGCCAGCTAGGTTCCTGTGAGATAAGAGAAACTACCTCAATATACTGAAATCATTTACTGAAGGCAGTTTGAAAGGGAGAAAGTTCAGTCTCATCCAAGCTAGTCAGGACACAAAGGAAAACTGCTTCTAGGATGTGTTTCTCCTCTCCTTGTCCAACCAACATATAAGCATACATAATATTAATCATTTTGTATGGACACAGTGAGAAATACTTTGAGCTTATAGAATTGCTCTCCTAGGGCCATCTCGATCTCAGACTGCAGTGCTCAGGCCAGATATCTTTCCTATTCCTCGCAGCAGGGCCCTAGTCTCATCGTTACTTTTGGATCATGACATCATTTGCCTATGATCAACCTCTTAACTTATAGTTAAGAATCGTGGCACCTTGGCCTGGCCCATCGCGATGCCAGGGTAGCACATAACTTTACCGACTTGCCTTGGTTCCATCCAGTCCCACGTCGGGACCCTGCCCTTGGGGTGCTAGGAAGTGAGGGCAGCTGAGGCTTAAGTTGAGAAGGCAGATGCCCAGGAGTGAATAATATTCAAAGCCAATCAATTCCTAAGTTACCGAGCATATTAATTAATTGTCTTCCTGTATCTATACAAAAGGACATTGCATTAAAGTAAACTGCTCAAAAGACATAAGGAGAGGAGAAAGGCAATATTAACTTATAGTACAGCTTCAGTGTCTAAGCAGGATGAGACCTTACAAACTGGTTGGGGAAGAGAGTATAGTAGAGGTTACAGACAGACAAAGTAATGGGAATGACTCGGGAGCACTGTGATGGGTGCAACCTGATAAACCTAAGCTCCGTGTACTCCAACAAAAGGTATTTGTTGAGTTTCACTTGAGTGACTCAAATGTCCCTAGGTTCTTTAAACCAGATACCAGATAATTACTTATGAAAAATAAAAATATTAATTTTCAGTGCAGTCAAAAATTTGTCAAAATTATTGGGGCTGGAGTGATAGTACAGCGGGTAGGGTGTTTGCCTTGCATGCGGCCGATCCAGGTTCAATTCCAAGCATCCCATATGGTCCCCTGAGCACCGCCAGGAGTAATTCCTGAGTGCAGAGCTAGGAGTAACCCCTGTGCATTGCCAGGTGTGACCCAAAAAGAAAAAAAAAAAACAGAAGGTGAATCCCCTGCCTGCCATCCCAAGATTTGCTGCCAATAAAATTAAAAAAAAAAATCTGTCAAAATTAGCAAGATTGATTTTCCTGGGAGTTTATTCAAAACACCTTCATTCCTGTCTCTACCTATTCAAACTCACCTCCACTCTTTGAAACCTATGCCAATATCTCACTCATCATGATGATTTGCAAGCAACAGAGCATTATTATTATTATTATTATTAGGATGCATAAACTATTAAAATTAGTATGTTTCCTTGCTTAAAAACCTAAAGCACAACACATTCATCCCTGACAAATTCAAAGAAAGAAAGTTTTCAACTTCTGGACCCTGCACAAGGCTGAGTCATTGAGGGTATTTGGGGGGAAGGTGAGCCCAGAACCCACCCAAACAGCAGCTGAAAGCCTCCACACTCCGCAATCACTGCCATGCTCACAGCCAGACTCTACTGCTTGGGACGAGCCTTGTCCAGAAATTAATCTTCTGAAAAACTCAGGTATGTGGGTTTTGTGACTGAAATCTCCAGGCTTTCACAGAGCTAGAGATGGACGACTTCCCCCTGTCTCCCTGTACTTCTGGAAACTCCAGCAGCCACACACACCCCCAAAGTTGCCTTCCAGTTAAAAAATTAACTCCAATTGTATCATTCCGTTTTAAATTTTGTACTTCCTGGAGCAATATCTCAAACTCTACAATACTGATAAACCAGGGGTAACATACCAGATTGGATGGAATGTAATGTAGAAGGCAACCAATCTTAATTAATAAAAATAACACAGAAGTCTTAACCTGTAACAATATCTTAGCAATCTCTTATACAAGGGATTCATGGCTTCCTGGTGAGATGTATCAATCTTCACTAACTTTTTTCTAAGGAAACATTTTTTATCATTCTTTTAGCAAATCATTTTTAACAAGTGATATGAAATAAATTGTTGAGGGCCTTCTATGAGGGGCAGGCTTAAGGGTTGGTTGGGAAAATTGGAGGTAATGTTGGTGGAAAGATGCAATGGTGGTGAGACTGGTGTTTTGTAGCAAATCATCATGAACAACTTTGTACAAAAATAAGGTTTTTAAAAAGGAAAGTTTTCAAAAAAAATAGATCATCCAAACTCTCAAGTAGTAAGATAAATAAATTTCTTAAAATTATATTCAGAAGTCTTGTAAAGAAATAATTGGGATGAGTGCTGGTGAATAGCATTTTTTAATTATTATTGTAGTCTAAAGTAGTAAAATTAGTCAACACATTGTTCAAATCTCAGTTTATCAACTGGCCTTGAATGATTAAATTAAGTACCATAGCAAAAATAGAGTGCCAGACGCTTTAACTAAAACTTCTCGATCAAAAGTTGTTTGTTTGGTTTGGCTTGGTTTGGTTTTTGGGTCATGCCTGGTAGAGCTCAGGATTACTTTGGTCTTTGTGTTCAGGGGCCTCTCCTAACAGTGCTCAGGGAACAATATGAAGCTACAGGGCTCAAACAAGGTACTTGTAAAACAAGTAAGTACATTTTACCCTATACTATCTTCTGGCCCACAGTCAAATACTTTATTTTTTGCAGAAGAAACAAATTTATTCAAATTTATGCCACTTCTTTAAAACCAATACCTTGGGGCGGGAGCAATAGTACAGCTGGGAGACATTTGCCTTGCATGCGGCTGGCCTGGGTTCCATACCCGGCATCCCATATGGACTCCTGAGCACCTCCAGGAGCATTTCCTGAGTGCGGAGCCAGGAGGAATCCCTGAGCAGCACCGGGTGTGACCCAAAAAGACAATCAATCAATCAATCAATAAATAAATAATACCTTTAAAAAAAAATTTTTGTCAAAGGAAAAAAATTCTAAAAGCAAATTACCTCCAAATCAGGTTTCAACTAGTGCTTTTCAAAACAAAACTGGTCAGTATAATAATCTTAATAATAAAAATCAGGTTAGATGAAAAACTACAGTGTCAATACTTACTTGTGCCATTTCCGTGTTGCTGTCTTCTGAACTTGTGTTGCTAGTTGGAGTAGCAAGCCCCAAAGCTGTGAGCTGCAGGCAGAGGATCAGTGGAAGGAACTTCATCCTTCCACTGTGAGAGGAACTTCCGAGTGAGAGGTTTGACTGAAGTTGCTCTGCACCCCTCACTGCAGTTCCTTAAATGTCCCTCTTTATATAGCCCTCCTGGCAAGCTCAGTGACTCTGAAATCCTCAGGGTGACTCACACTTGATACCATCCTTTGATTTATCTGTAAAGCATGTAAACACAGAAAGTCCTTATTCTGGGGCCAGTAGCAGGTCATTTGCACCTAACTTTTCAAGGTGTCAGTTAACTTTTAACTCACAATTTTATTGAGGCAGCTCAGAATATAATATCTTAAAAATATTAAACAAGCCTCTACCTCTCCTCACCCTGAAAATAAGCCATTGGGAATGATAGTTGGGAATGGTCACTCTGGATAGGAACTGAGTGTGGAAAGTAGGTAAAAGGATATACCTGATAACCTTTTAGTATCTATATTGCAAACCATAATGCACAAAAGGGGGGAGAGAGAGAGAGACAGACAGAGAAGAGAAAGACCTGCCATAGGGAGGATGGGAGGGAAACTGGGCACATTGGTGGTGGGAAATGTACACTGGTGAAGGGATGGGTGTTGGAACATTGTATGGCTAAAACTGAATCATGAACTACCTTGTAACTGTGTATCTCACTGTGATTCAATTACAGAAATAAATATTTAAAAAATGAAAAAAAAAGGCATTGTAAGAGAGACACCAATTACTTAGTGCCTAGCAAACCCATAAGTGCATTGTTCAGAAGCTCAGGCTTGGGTGATGGACACAGCTCTCTGGAGAACACTTACCCTGCATTCACCATGGCGGGTCCCTCGGCATTGGAGGAAAAGGGGGGATTCTTTTTCACTATTTTCAGTTCCTGCTATAAAACTTTCCTTATATCCACTGAGGGCAGAATAATGTTTTCACACAAACTAAATATAGAAAATGGAATAAATAAAACCTCATAGCTTCTCCCAGATGTTTTCTGAGGCTGAAACTCTGGGGGAGAGAGTGGAAAGGAGACTGACTACTGAGGTGCCCATTCCCTACCTCCATTCTCTCTGCCTCAAGCCCTGCGATTCCACCTCAAGGACTTCTGGCGTTTTGAGGCTGAAGATAACTTTGTCTTTCTTTCTCTGGTGATGCTTTCCAAGACAATGCATTGTAAGTGTGGGCATGTAAGGCACTCACTAAATTCACTCCCTTTCTCTTGTCCTGCAAGGCAAACACTGGGCAGCTTAAGAGCGGCCACAAGTGTGACTGCAAGTTGCTTACTATGGAGTTCATGATGAACTTCACAAAGAAGGTCATAAAAGAGCATTGGCAGGGAATCACTCCAAATATTGATTGACTTTAACTTAAGAGTCATAAAAGGAACGTGATCATTTGGCCAGAAGATGGGAGATAAAAATGGAATTTAATTAGACAATATGAGAACAATTGCACTTCCACCTATACAAAGATCCTGCTCTGAGTAGGGAATATCTCTGTGTTGTCCAACACTGTATTTATTCATCGGCTAGGTCGTGAAGTTAGTAAGTGCTCACCTAACGCGTATGGATGGATTTAGCAGAAGAGTAGCAGCTCCAGGGCATAAATCATAGCCCTCCCTTGTGTGTTCAGTTACTATGAACACACCATGTGTCCTTACCCCCTCTGAAAGCTTACCAGATCTGATCTTGTTTATAGATGAAGAAATCTGTTGCTTGGAAGACTTTCTGGAAGGGTCTAGAAAGTATAGGCTGAATGTAAGACACTAGGGAAAAGATGCCCGAGATAAAAGGAATTAAAAGAATGTTACTGGAAGGTGTCTAAAACTAGAAAATTTGCCATATTTTACTGGTTTTGGGGTCTTGCTTCAGCAAAAAACCTCAAATGGGTCAAGTACAAACAAGAAAATTCCCCGGGGCAGTATAAAGGTACCTTAGGTTGCACGTTGGTGAGCTGTGGGATCTCAGCTTCATTTTTATAGGAGCCCCTGTGCCTTCTGAGAATTGCTTAGAACACCCCTAAAATTAAAAAATAAACCAGATACTATAGTATCAGAGCTTCCAGAAGCATCCTACTTTTGCTTACATAGTTTTCTTCCCCCCGACTTGGCCGACCTGGGCTCGATTTCTCCGCCCCTCTCGGAGATCCCAACAAGCTACTGAGAGTATCTCGCCCGCACAGCAAAGCCTGGCAAGCTCCCTGTGACGTATTCAATATGCCAAAAACAGTAACAACAAGGCTCACAATTTGTTGTGAGACGTTACTGGTGCCCTCTCAAGCAAATCGATGAACAACGGGAGGACAGTGCTACAGTGCTACAGTTTTCTTCCCAACCCTGGCACCAGCCCATTCTGAGGGGTGTCACTGCTGTAAGGATGTAGATGCACAAACAAATCAAAACATGGTTTTGGGCAAGGACCCCAGAAGACAAACATTCCAGAATATACAAGAAAACCCCTTGGCTGAACAACTCATTGGTAGTCTCATTAGATGGAAAGAAAACTTTAACTGGCTCAGTGTTTCCTTTTATGGATGTAGACATGGGAGTCCTGAAAAGGGAAGCGGACTGTCCAACGTGGCCTCCTGACTGAGATCGTGTTGCTCTACCATGCTGCATTTGGATGCCTATCACTTTGATTTTGCTTTGGATTTGTCTTCCAGTGGGCATTTTGCTACTGCAAACACTGCAAATTGATACTATGGTACGTCAAGCCTTTGACTTAAAAGAGTGTTTGACTTAAAATCTCTGCTGTTGGATGGGCTGGAGTACCCAGATAATCCTGGAAATGTGGTAGATGCATCTACTGCCCAGGGAGGTGACTCTCCTTGTCTGGACGAGATCTCCCAGGAACCCCTCCCTGCCTGGTTCTGGCAGCACCCTGCCCCTAAGGTGCCTTTGATGGCAAGTATTCCCCAAGAAGTGGCCTGGAACTCCTCTGAAGAGCACGATGCTCGGAGCCACCCCAGTCGTTATGCAAACTTAGGCAAGTTAATTTGTCATGCTCATTTCCTTTAGAGAAGGAAAATTTAATCCTTAGATTTTCTTAAGAATAAGCGACAGGGGCTGGAGTGATAGCACAGTGGGTAGGCATTTTTGCCTTGCACACCGCCTACACGGGTTTGATTCCCAGCATCCCATATGGTCCCCCTAACGCCACCAGGAGTAATTCCTGAGTGCATGAGCCAGGAATAACCCCTATGAAATGCCAGGTGTGACCCAAAGAAGCAAAAAAAAAAAAAAAAAAGAAAGAAAAAGAAAGAAAAAAAGCATAAATGACAGATTCTATTAAATACACCTGGCATCATATGATAGTGGCACAATTTGTGTCTCTTCTTCAGCTACTATGCACCTCTGTGTCCATGTAATTACGCCATGATTGCATTGGAAACAGCTGATTTTCTACAGAGGGACGAAAGTTGATCTAAATAACTGAAATATATTTAAAGACTTCTATAGAATATTGGTTTTGAGAGTGTGACACAGAAATCATAGAGCTTTGGTATAGCTGCCTTTGTGCTCTGAAATAGAGCATTAATTTTTTTTTAATAAAGGCACCGTGATTTGCAGTTATCCATAGTTAAGTTTTAGGCATTTAATATTCCAGCAAGGATTCCACCATAAATCCTACTAATCCCACCAAATCTACACTGGAGAGGAAGCACAGAGATGCAGAGGGCTTCCTCTAGAATGAATTTAAACAGAATTGCTAATTGAAGTTCCCTAAGACAGAGCATGCTAGAGTCACAGGTTAAAAACCTAATGCTTGCAAACGTGTGCTCCACCAACAGTTGTACCCAGGACTTTCCTAACCACCAGACATTTTTCTCAAGGGGAAAATTTTAGAATGTTAGAGAAGAACCTGGGATATGTTGGATTTTGGGAAGGAGTGAGGATGGTCATCCTGAGTGTCACCAGAAAAGTGAAGTAGAGGAAATCGATGAGAAAGGTGGAAGTGAGGAAGGCGGAAACGGCCAGCTCCCCCGGGTCTGTTTTCCTTCCCCAGTCATGACTCCCCTTCAAATGTCCATAAATGGAGACGGCAGTGCAGCAGAAGCCCTGTCTTTGGCACCCGGCAGGTATGTGGCGGCCCACACATGTAGGCACCGTGAGTTAAGTAAAGTCCTTAACTTTCAGTTCTTACTCGGTGAGATAAAGACCCAGGGCTAGCGATCATGACTCAGATATCTCTCAACTGATCTGGACTTTGCAGTGTGGGTGAATGGGAAGAGCTGGGCTTTGGAAATAGACTTGACCTCAGACCTCAGCTATGCTACCTACGAACTGTGTGGCTTTGGGCAAATCCAGTTCAGTTCCTCATTCGCAAATGGCTATTTTGAGGATTAGATCAGATGATGCCTGAAACTGCTGGCCACTGTGCTTGGCATGTTAACAGCCCTTCCATAAGTTTCGGAAATCTTCCTTTTGTGACCCCAAAGCAGTGGGTCTCAACGTGTCTTATTTGGGGGTCAGAGATAGCACGGGGTTGAAGTACCTGCCTTGCATGTGGTTGATCCTGGTTTGACCCCCGCCTTTCAAATGGTTCCCCCAATCACTGCCAGGAGTAGAAACAGCGATGTGTCACCCTCTGTGGCCCCTCCAAACAAAAAAAAAAACAAAACTAAACAGGATTTTTTTTTTTGCTTTTTGGGTCACACCTGGTGATGCACAGGGGTTACTCCTGGCTCTGCACTCAGGAATTACTCCTGGCGGTGCTCAGAGGACAATATAAAAGTAAAGTAAAGGCCCTCCCGTTGATCATCAATTTGCTCGAGTGGGCCCAGTAACATCTCCATTGGAGACTTTGTTGTTACTGTGTCTGGCATAGGGAGCTCGCCAGGCTCTGTCGCGCGGGCGAGATACTCTCGGTAGCTTGCCGGGCTCTCCGAGAGGGGTGGAGGAATCGAACTCGGGTTGGCCATGTTGGCTGTGTGCAAGGCAAACGCCCTACCGCTGTGCTATCGCTCCAGCCCTCAGGGTCGGCCATGTGCAAGGTGAATGTCCTACCTGCTGTGCTATTGCTTAAGCCCCCTAAATA